TTTTCTGATGTCTTTTGCAGTGTGGACAACTCACAATAGAGTTTGTAACATGATTAAAAACATGATTTGAACAATGTGCATCACCTTGATTCACAGTTACTTCTGTTTTCATACAAATACACTGCCACAGGTATCAGAGTATAACATCACTACAATTCCTTGAGTCAAAAAAAAAAAACCAAACCAGGGATATTTTTGAACTTTTCTGTCACAAGAGTAACTTTTGAAGTGAAAGGGCATCATCTGTGGTTCACGGACACATCAGAATGAGGAAATGTCTGGGAGATGCAACAAGGAGATCACTACAGGAGAGCTCAGATAAAACTGTAAGTTTACTGCAGCCCCTTAGAAGAGCAGAAATATTCTTCAAGAACTCAAGCAAAAGATCAAAGTAGCTTACATATCATTCATCCAAGGATCTTGATTACTACTGAATTTCACAATTATGGAATTCTTTATATGCTGAGAAAGACTGAACTGGCTATATGTAAAGACAGTAGTGTGAATCTTTCTTTAGTGGTGGAAACCTCTGGTGTATGGTTTCAATATGTAATCTAGAAGAAATCACTGATCTATCCAATTTTTCTTTTAAAAAGCATAATTGCCTTAAATTGAGTTTCAATGGAGAAGCATGCACTGTCTCTCTTACCATTCTTGCAAAATCTATGTACTTATCTATAAACGTTTGTAGTTCTAAAACTAGATGACAGTTCCAAATAGTAGCAAGTTAGAAGCACTTTTTTCCAAACCTCCTTTGCCTGTAGCAATGTGAGTCCTATGTTATCATACTGGTTCACAGACCATATTTATCTAGAAACACAAAGCCAGTTACTGCCAGTTTTATTTACAAAGCATTCAATTCTGGGAGGATAGAAGATGTAAATGTAGCTCATGGCTCCTCTAAGTTTTCACTTTATGACCTCTGTCAGTTATAATTGAGGGTTTTATATATACATTTTTTGTAAGTATGGCTAACAGGTTTGGGTTTAGAGAAGGCACACATAATCAAAGATTCATAAATGAACTACTCTCTCACAGATATAATCTGAAACAGCTGCAAAATAACAATGCATGCAGCTAGCAATATAGTTAGTCCTTTATCACACAAGAAAAAAACCCCAAACCAAACCATCTGAAAATTCTTATTTAAGTCCTGCCTAGATGGTATCTGAGAAAATTGTGTTCTAAACCAGCTAATAATATACAACTTCCTGAAAATCAGCGTTAACACCCAAATTCTACACCTGGACATACACTCCAGTTAGAATTTTATCTTAAAGAGGAACAGGAACATAAGGGTAACTTGCAGTTACTGGTGGAGGTAGCATTCCTTTAAAGCAAAAAGTAAATATATCTCTGAACCTTCCTGTTTCATTGGTAAGGCTGAAATACAGAAATTTCTTTTGCTTATTTAACAGAGAACAAAGTCCAAGTTGGCTTCTAGAGTCAAACCTGTGAAATTTTGAGGACTACCTGCTGATTTAAACACAATGTCTAGCTTCCAGCTTCTGTTCTGTGTGGTGCTTCTTATAATGAACACAGTGATAGCTGAATGTGGAAGTTAAGGAAAATGTAACAGCTGCCAGGCAGATCTTGCTACAGTTTTCAATGACAGAATTTCCCTTCTGTGGTCTAAAAGTAAAATTAAGTTGGGTGTCTATAAAACACTAATATAAAGTTTCAGCTTTATAAAGGCTGAAAATTATGTTAAGAGTGGAAATCACAGGTGCATTATAAGTTTCAGGAAAGAAGATGTGGCAGTACTTGAAAGACTGTTCATAATGTGACAAGTACTCTTCTGTTTCAATTTGGAGCTCTCACAGCTTTTTAAGTGCTTGTTTGTTTGGTTTTTTTGTTTGTTTTGTTTGTTTGTTTGTTTTTTTCAGGAAAGCTATCCTGTGGGGATTCCAGTACAAGATTACAAAAAATATTTCTTAAGTTACTCTTAAAAAAGCTTGATAGGTTTCTGAGGCGATGCAATTTTCTTGTTATTGATGGTTGTTTAAGGACTGCTTCTTTTATGGTAAATCTCCAGAAGGAAACTAGAAGAAAGCGTTTTTAATAGAGCTGATGTCTCAAACTCACCAGATTACTCTTAAAAACTCATGGTTGTCTGGAACTTCTGGAATACTGTACTGCCCTGTACTTTCTAATTAGTAACTAAAGTCCTGTATTCCTGAAAGTGAAGGATTAAATGAATCATTCTAAGAAGGAAAAAGATACACCTTGTTTGGTAGTAAGGGTGTTCTTCCCTCTATATTCTTCCCTCCACATACCCTGACTTGCCTAGCAAGAATGCTTCCAAGTCCTCTTGTGCTTTAGGAAAAAAAGTTAATCAGTGAACTCTTCTTTTAATATCAAACTCATGCTCAGTCACAGAATTGTTGCAAATCCAAGTGCACTCAGGAAAGTGTTTTTTTTTCTTTAATATCTTTGCAATGGATGCAAAAAAAGGTAATATAATAGGTATAAGAGAAAGCAAATAGATAGCTTCATAGTTTTAGTGATGTGCAGTAGATTTCAGTGATGTGCTTGCAGGATTTGAGTAAGAACAACTGATGGTCAAAGAAATGGATGAAAAAGTACTTAAGTCTGAAAAACCTATTTCCTTAAATAGTCTTCTGTTTCTCATCAGTAAGATCAGGCTTACTTTACACACTGCAGTTCTTCTGATAGCCTGCTGGCGATGCATGTTCCAATAAACTTCCAATGAAAACATCAGGAAACTGCAGAAAGGCAGGTTTTTGTTAAGAAGAAATGCAATATAACTGTAGCTGCTAGAAGAAAAGTAGTTCATTGGTTTCCTTAAAAACTAATGAAAATGTAAGTTTCAAAGAGAATGTGTTGATGGGATGCTGACTCTACAAGTTCACACTTTGCTGAAGCAAGGTTTGTTTTCAGACAAGACACTTTTTGCTTACTTTCCATAAAATTAAAATGCTTAGGAATCCTCATGATTTCACTAATAACTGAACTCTAAAGCTAACATGTGTGCTTAATTTCTATTGAAAAGAAACTAAGAATAAATTTTTTTGCTCTCAAAACAATCTTTCTTAATACAATAAATGCAATTCCTTGGAAAAAAAGGGAAATAACAGATAACCTGTTGAATTCCATGCTACTTAATAGGCTGAGGCATTTCTACTTGACTCTAAACAGTATTCAGTTTCTCCCATTTAACAGTGTAAAAAAGTCAGGATTCCATTAGGGTCACCCTAGTTGGGACAGGGCTGGTGTAAAGAACCTACCTGAAACACTACACTTTTAACAGAGAGAGTCTTAACTTTTTAGTAAATTCTCTAGGATAAACATGAGCCAAATGGCCAGTATCTGGCTAACCTATGAATAATGCTAGACTAAGTCATCAAACGTCCACAAAAACCAGATACGGCAGTGTTGGTTATTGATTACCACTTTTTCTTTCTAAATTTCATTTATGACAGGTTTGTTTATGAACTCCTCTGTGAGAAGTTTACAAAGCTTAAACCCAGTATCTATAGGTATGGATTCCACCTCCTAAATTAGATAACTGCAGTAATTACAAGTGAGACATGATAAACAAGTTCTGCCACAAACCACCAAATTAATGGAAAGAAAAAGTTTAAATAACTGAAGAGACATGTACCTGTGTTTATATTTATTCTATACCCATAAACTCATTCCGGTATTCTCCCAAAGAGTTATTATTTTTCAACTGATGTCTACTTCAAAAACAATAATAAATTTTCTTGCTGCTGTAGAAATCCCATGTTTTAAAAAGCCTTTAAACAGAAATGTGATATGAACTATAAATGAAAACTACCTCTGAATAAAATATGATCTTTTTTTTTATCTTTATGAGCAAAATTTTTATCTTTATGTGACAGTTAGGATGGTGACCGGTTAAGACAAATAAAATGGCATATTATTTTATAAAAATAAAACAGTGTTTCTTGCTCTCAAGAGGCCACATAGCAAAGAGTCAGTTCATCTCTTTCACAGAAGAATATTAACTCTCTAGAGAAGCTGTGAATGCTAACAGAGGAGACACTAATTCTTCCATTAGTGATGTATACATAAGGACCTGCAGTTGAGTTAATCTTGGATTTTTCCAAATGATTGTGGAACATTCCTTAAATCTTAGTACACTTGCATTTGCATTAGCATACTAGCAAATTAAGGCACAAAACTGTGTACTACTTGAAAGCGTATAAACTAAGAAGAATGTTTCCCATTGCTCTTGAAAAATATCTTTGGGCTACTTGGAAGTACAGAACTAAGTAAATATATCCAGTATGCTTATAAGGAGGATTAAATTTATGCCACCAAGTTTTGCAAGCATTATACCTTTCTGAGTATGTATATACTTCCTTAGCTCAAAAAAAACCAAAAACCAAACACACTTAAGAAATGCAAGAAGCACTCAGCATTGTTTATATTTGGATGCTGAGACTTCTACCTCAGCTGCAGGTGACGTGCTCCAGCACTAACTCCAATACAACAAACAAACTCTTCTATACTACACATATTTTGGTCACACATAGCCCTTAAACATTACTACTCAGTACTACTATAAATACACTTTAGAGAGCAAAAATATTGTGAACAACAGAAAAGTCACCTTAACAGAAACAAAAATGTAATGTAGCTACTGACTTCACTACATCTCAATCCCCATATAACAATAATATATACGGCTAATTAACATTCCAGATGCTGTGTTACTTACATTCCCTGTTTCTTACTTGCATTAGCAGCAACTGGCATTCCTTGATCCAAACAAAAATTTAGTTAATTCTCACAAAAATTTTAAGCACCTTAACTCTGGAACTTAGACCAGGATACTGCAACTTGCTCCTCTTCCTGTTTGGGCCCTAGAAAAGAATTACAGCCCCAAAGAGGACACAGCAACAAGCTGTGCCTTTCCTCTCTCTCCTATCTAGTAAGATTTTATTCCTTCTGGCAGGTTTTTTTTTTTCCTGTTGTTTGTGTTTTGCTTTGTTTATATATATATATACATGTACATATATATATACATACAAGGTTTTTATTCCTAGAGGAATTTGAAACTTGCCTATCCCCAATCTTCTGAAACCCACTGCAATGATTTAAAGATATTAAAGGTTAGCATTTCTACTGTGCCTTGCTAAGCCTGCCAGAGGCATACTTCTTTATTTGGTTTGCTTGAACAATTTCCTTATGCCATACAGAAGTAGCATTTTCCTTTGGACACTATGCATGGAATGAACTTTTGCTTAGCATAACCTTTTGTAGGCTTCAGCTGCATTCTGAGAATTATTACCAATTAAAGGAAAAAAAATCAATATGATACACAAATCTAGCACTTCGCATTCTTTAACCTCTCTAAGGTCAATATTTGTTATTTGCTGCTATCATTAGTAAACCTCTTTCTGCTGGCCTAATGCTTTTAAATATTCTTTGGAAAGCCGATAATTTGCAGTATTTCTTAACATGTATAGTCAAGACTTGATACTGGCTTTTTTGCTTCCTAAACAAATGTAGGTCATTGTAAAGGATACATTACTGAATTCTGATGTCTTTGTTCGAACAAAAGGCATGGTTTAAGTAAATCACATCAAAAGTCAGAAGTAGTTACTACAGTAGGGTAAGAAATGCACAAGTAACTCAATATTCTACAAAAGAAATTTCTGGATTTCACTGTTCAGTAAGCACATTTGCATCCAGAATCTACCTGACCTTCACCCTTAAAACAAAGTATCACTTTAAAATATCAATTGCAGAAAGAAATCAAAAAATCTCAAAGTTTGTAATTGAAATACTTGTCAAAACTGTCTTCAGTTTTAAGGCCAACATGTATGACAGTCACCACATTAGAGTGCTGCTGATATTGACATACAGGACAGCGACAGCAGAGTGAGAACACAGCTTAGAGTAGAAGACCTCTGAAAAATGTCACTAACAGTTACTTGATGTAAAACAGATAGAAGCCACAGTCCCTTAAACACTATGTGCTCTACTATTTATGTGTATCCTCAATGACATGATTACTGTGACTGGATATATAATATTTTGCAGTATATGCCTTTAATGCAGATGTAGACATCATTCAAGATGGTACTCATATATACAGAAAATCAGTTAATTTCAAACTAATCACAGAAAAATATTGCAAATAATGTTGTATAAATGCATAGTGTTTGAGGGGAAAAAATTACTTCATTGGACAAATAAAGTCCCACACATTGAGTCTGGCACTCGCTCATCACTATGTCACTTTCTTTTTGATTGAAGACAGCTCTTTCTGAATCTCACTGAATTTTGGCCGGTTTTCTGGCTTGTAGTCCCAGCACCTCTGCATTATTTTATGTATTTCTTCTGGACATTTTTGTGGCGCTGACATTCGGTAACCTGGTACACAAAAAATGGGAGTAAAATGTTTAGCATTGACAACTGATGCATATTGACAAATATAAAAAGAAAAAAGTAAAGTCCAAGATCATTCCGTTAAAAAAGATCTTCAGGGTAACATGAGGAAAGCCTTAGAGATAAGTAATAAACTAATCAAAGCTCAGGTACCAATGACATTTAATTTGGGCATGGCAGATTGTCAGTATGCTTCTCATCCCTAAAGGCAGCAACCTGCACAGATTTGTTTTCTGTATCTTAGGAAGTAGCTACCCTCTAGGTTTTCTTTGTGTTCCTCCCTGAGGAAATCAATAATAAACATTAAGATGGGAGTAAATTTCTGAGGTACTGAATGCTGCCTTTGCCTCAGTCTTCCCTAGCAGGACTGTCCTTCAGGAATCCCAGGCTCCAGAGATCAGGGAGAAAGTAGGTAACTCATTCAATGGCAAGTCCCAATGGGACGTGATCAGTGGCACAAAGTCTAGTTGGAGGTCAGTAACTAGCAGTGTATCCTAAGGTTCACTGGTACTGTGTCCAGTCCTGTTGAACATCTTCATTAACGATCTGGATGATGGGCAGAGTACATCCTCATCAAGTCTGCAAAGGACACCGAAATGGGAAGAGGGGCTGATATGTCAGAGGGTTGTGCCACCATCCAGAGGTACCTGGACAGGCTGGAGAAGAAAGTGGCCCACAGGAACCTCACACAGTTCAGCAAGGGGAAGATTAAAGTCCTGCAGCTCAAGGAGAGGAACAGCCCCAGGCACCAGGACATGCTGGAGGTCCTGGTGGACACCAAGGGTTGAACATGCACCAGCAATGTGTCCTTGTGGGAAAGAAGGTGAATGTTATAGGTGTTACGAGCTGCATTAAGAGAAGTGTTGCCATCAGGTCGAGGGAGATGATCCTTCCCCCCTGCTTGGCAGTGGTGAGGTCACATCTGGAGTATTGGATCCAGTGTTGAGTACCAGAGAGACATGGACATACCAGAGAGAGTCCCACAAAGTGCTACCAAGATGATGAAGGGACTGGAGCAGCTCTCACATGAGGTAAGGCTGAGAGAGCTGGGATTGTTCAGCCTGGAGAAGAGTCAGGAGGAACTCACCAATGTACATAAATACCTGCAGGGAAGGTGCAAAAAGGACCAGGCTCTTAATAGTATTGCCCAGTAACGGGAAGAAAGGCACTGGGCACAAACTGAAACACAAGAAGTTCCTCCTGAACATCATGAAACACTTCTCTATGATGGTGACTGAGCATTGGCACAGGTTGCCCAGAGAGGTTACAGTGTCTCCATCCATGGAGATATCCAAAAGCCATCTGGGAATAGTCCTGGGAAACTCGCTTTAAGTGGCCCTGATTGAGCAGACAGCTGGACTAGATGACAAACAAAGGTCCCTGCAGACCTCAGCCATTCTGTTAATCTGTCATTCTATGAACTGTTTACCACATGGAGCTCTCTGAGCAGATGACAGGCAGTGGACAGTAAAGTTAGCTGGCACACAGGACTCTACAGCTAAATGCAGATCCATGACTCTCTCCATCTCCCTTTCTAATGCAGAGTATAAATGATACTGGCCTCATGCAACAGGTAAAACAAAACATTCTTACTTTATTACATTGCATGCATATGCTCTGCGTCTGGATTAACGTATCTAACTTCAAGGGAGAATGGCTGGGCTGTTGACACAGCCAATGTAATATGAAACTACTTAAAAATCTTTTCCTTCACCCAAAGTCTCCCCTGCACTTAAGGCTCTTACTGATTGAGTAACTGAGATAGATAAGATAAGGAAGAGAATCTGGAGTGTCTTAGCTGACAGTCCTAAAAGAAGAGCTATTATATACTGAAAATCAAGACAACAGGATGATGGGAGAAATGAAAATTGCATTAAAAAACAAACAGAAAAAAAGGTAAAAAGAATTGCTGATAAGCCAACAGAACTATTTTCCCCGCAGTATAAATAGCTGAAAAAAACATAAAATTCATAAAGATTGGGGTTTTATTTTTAATCATTTAACATTTTTCCTAGCTTAGAACCTATTTATGAACTACTGTGTACTTCATAAAGTTCAAAAGTTCTGAAAAGCCACTAAGGATGATAAAAATAAATCAAAGCCTGGAAATTCTGCTCAAAATTATTTGCTATTTTAAATAAAAGCCTTTTGGTTGTTTTGTATAAAAGAAATGTGGCTTTCAACGCTCAACTAGCTTACCATTTTCTACCAATTCTACATAATTGCTAAATCTTTGCCTGAAATGCTTTAATAGAGAAGATGGAATGACACAGATTTTTTCTTCTGGCAGTTCAGAATATTTATACTTGCATTAGCATAATCTTAAATAATACATTCTGGTCAAGCCTCTCCTTTGCACAGCAGTAAAACCCTCCTCTCTGTCTCACTTTCTAGTTCTGACACAATGAAAGTCAACATCCTGTAAGTCTTCTGTCCTTTAAGTCACTGGTCAGTATATTCTATTTTTCAAGAAGCCTATATATAAAACACTAATCCTTCCAGAAAGCAATTAAAAATATCATATTTTTGCCCAATTTTCTGGATAACTCACATGCTACTTCTTTGCCCTTTTATACTATATGCACTATACCCTTATGCATCTGTGGAGCATTCTTTCACTCGGTACAAATAACTACCTTTCTCAACTTGTTCTCGTGCTTGCTGGTTGGTCATTCCAGGGTACGGACACACTCCTAAACTGAAGGTCTCCCACAAAAGGATTCCAAAGCTCCATACATCACTCTCAGACGTGTATCTCCCTAAGAAAAGGAGAGAAAACCCTCAGCTTAATGTACAGAGACACAAATGTTTCAGATAATTATGGCTCCAAATTTTCCGTAAAGGTGAAGTTACAGGTTATGTTGGCAAGCTTTAAGCAGAACAAAGCTGAAGCTACTAGTTAATACGTTCTGCGGATACCAGTATCCTGTATTGAAAATTAGAAACAGAATATCTTAAGGTCAATATCTATGCATAATATAAGCTAACTTAAAGTTCCACTATTTGACGGACCTTAGTTATTTTTCAAGGAAGTTAAGAATTTCTTTCCTTTTTTGTGTATTAACATACTATTTTCTTTTTGAAAAATGTCAGTTCCTCCTCCCTCCCTTTCAATTCAAAAGATACTTTTTTAAAAATTACATTTCCCAGTTCCCTAATAACGCATTGCAATGAGTATTCTGAGAGGAGCTACAACCAGCAGTTTGTAACTGCAAAGAGGGCCTGGTTTTCAAGCTTTGAGAAATTGTTCTCTGAAAATTACAGTTGCCTCAACTTGCTTAATTATTACCCTGAAGAACTGATGTACCCAATCAGCTAGAGAAAAAAAAAAAAAAAAAAAAAAATCTGGCCTGCTGGTTCCGTTATGTTCAACTATGCTTCAGATACAGCAAATTAGGTAACCTCTCTGTGGAATGAAAGCTTTATATTATGGAGGAAAAGAGATCTTGGACGAGATACTTCTATTGTCGCTGATGGAGTCATATTAAGAAGGATGGATTCACATCAGAAAGCGAAGGCTTCTAGCCCTTTGCAGCAGGATATGTGAAATTATCTTAAAAATGCATATCCAACAATATTTTCAATATTTTTCATGACTGTTTTTCTTGTTCCATACTATTACTTTGTATATATGTCTTTATTCTTTAAATATTTATGAATGTGAATGTATTGTTTCTTCATCTCTTACCATTAAATAAACCAAACTAAGCAACTTCTGACTTGAAGAAAGGAAAATACATGTTAATTACAGTGAAAGTTGGTGATATGACAACTGTTCTGACATCAGAAAGTTCAGTTTACTCTTAAACTAAATATCACTTTCAGCTGCACTACATTAGCTTGTGTGCCTTCTAGGTGATAGACATTCACTATGCTCTTTTTTGTCTACGTATGAACTCTCTTCAGAGTTTGGCATCCAGTAATTTAACACTTTTTATTGAAATAATTTAGTAGATAAAAGATAGGTGATTAGGGTTTTTTAAAGAGAGTGCAAGTTCTGTAGAGCTAATTATCTCTTTCGGTATGACATTATTTGGCAGAAAAAACAGGCCTGTTCATTCACAATAAAAAAAAAAAAACACAACAAAACAACAACCAAACCCTTCCACACAATAATTTATTAACATGGCAAACAAGTCAAAATGTCGTACTGGAAAAACATACATATTAAATGTGTGTCTTATTTCTGAGAGACTAGAAAGCAAAAATACATGGCCTAAATATGTAATTTTATTAGGAGCTTTTCAAGCAATTTTTTCACTTGCTGGAAGTGATAGAAATCACATAGCTCCAAGCAAAAATAACATCATGGAACAGCACTTACTGAACCAAAGGTTTAGTATCACAGAAGCTCTAGTAACATCGGAATTTTGATTATGACTTCAGACACAACTAACTACTCCATTTGACCTAATCTGGCAATTCTAGATGTCACAGCCTGTGTGGTTATTTTGTTTTTGTTTTTTTTTTCTCATTTAAAATCTTTCTGTGACTGCTATTAACCTACTGTGACATTTGAAAGTTGAGTATTAGCCTGCAGAACACACTATCAAATGTTTGAGAGAGCTTACTTTCCAAACACCATGGAAAATCACTTAAAGGTGCTTGAGTATTTATGCATTTTAGGAAACACAAAATAAATAGATGTCAATCAACTATACTCGCCTTTCCTGTACTATGAAAATTAAAGACTCAAAAGTACAAAGTGAAGGTATTGTCACAAAAGCCTGTTTCCTGTTTAATGTAGTACACTGGACTGCATATGGCTATGAAAGATGGATTTCCATGATGTATCAAATAAACTGTATGCATTTCTAAAATAACAAAAGTAAAATTCAAAACACTTTTTGCATTGGAACAAACACCCAGAATAGAAAAAGTGTGTGAACGTTAGCAACACTGATATCTCTTAGAATAGTTGATAAGACATGATCATTACCTCAATACCATGATCATGATCGACTATGATCGACTATGATCTATGATCAGTAGCCCCTCTACTCTGCTCTCATGAGACCTCACTTGGAGTACTGTGTGCAGTTCTGGTGTCCTCAACATAAAAAGGACATGAAACTGTTGGAACAAGTCCAGAGGAGGGCCATGAGGATGATGAGGGGACTGGAGCACCTCCCGTATGAAGATAGGCTGAGAAAGTTGGGGCTGTTCAGCCTGGAGAAGAGAAGGCTGCGTGGAGACCTCATAGCAGCCTTCCAGTATCTGAAGGGGTCCTACAAAGATGCTGGGGAGGGACTATTCATTAGGGACTGCAGTGACAGGACAAGGCGTAATGGGTTAAAACTTAAAACAGGGGAAGTTTAGATTAGATATAAGGAAGAAATTCTTTGCTGTGAGGGTAGTGAGGCACTGGAACAGGCTGCCCAAGGAAGTGGTAATTGCTCCATTCCTGGCAGTGACGGAGCCTTGGGTGACATGGTTTAGTGTGAGGTGTCCCTGGCCATAGCAGGGAGGTTGGAACTTGATGGTCTTAAGGTCCTTTCCAACCCTAACCATTCTATGATTCTATGACTACTGTTATTAATTTATTATTAGCCTTCCAAACGGAAGATCTGCTTTATTGTGTTGTGACATTAACTCCTGCAAAAGCACTAATGAGAAGAAGCATTTTGTTTGCAATCATAAGTCACAACTTGCAATTTCCAATGCACAATTTTTTAGAAAAAAAAGCTTTGAGATAGCAGAAATATTTATGGACACTTCAAATGAAGAATTTGAAACACTTTTTTTTTCTAAGTACTTAACTGAAAAACTGGCTGAGAAAACTACATAATAAAACATGGCATTGTTCATTTAATACGCTGCTTCTTTAGAGCCCACTTTACTTAGAACTTAATTTTCTAGTTTCATATAAGCTAAAAAGCAAAATATAGCAGCTTCAGTTAAAAAAGCTGCAGTTAAAAAAAAAAGTGTGAGTCGGCGACTATACTTTTCTCTAATGCAATGTTTTATCCAACAAGAGTGTTCTAGTATGTTAAAACTTCCTACCGTTTTCAAAGAGGTGCTGGAACAATCACTGCCATAAATAAACAGAACTTGCTATACATTTTGGTAAGAATCATGATTTAGATTACTAACTAGGTAGTCTACTAGAATGAGTCAGTAACATAACCTAAAGTATTATTTTATTGCTGCATAATAGCAATTCTGATCTTGTTGCCTTATTCCTTTTGAAGGCAAACCAGTATTTTATAATTGAATAAGATTGAAATATTAAAATAATTGTAAAAATTATTTATTTGATCTGGGCAGTAGGAATGTATATATATTTTTATATATATTATATATATTACTATGAATATATATTTTATATATATATATATATATATATACACACACACTCAAATATTGCCCATGGTGTAGTCCTGGTGCTTCTTATAGTACTTCTGGTTGTTTTTTTTTTGTTGTTTTTGTTTTTTTTTCCCAAGAAGACACGGGTCTGTTCTTACCATAGTTGAGAGCTTCTGGAGCAGTCCACTTGATAGGAATCTGCTTGAGGCCTGACGATGAGTACACACCATCATCCTCTTGCCGGGACATTCCAAAATCACTTATTTTCAAAATGTTGCTTTCACCTACCAAGCAGTTCCTTGCAGCCAGGTCTCTAAATTAGAACAAAAAGTAAACACCCATATATTTACACATTTGAAACTATTTGAAGCCATTTTAAATGGCTGACCACCTCAGCCAAGATGGTGGTGCCTCTCGCAAAACATTCCAGAAACGGTAAGAAACCATACATGGCAGCTGTGGAAAAGAGGAATGACAGAGGGGAAAAAAAGTGTGAGAAATAATGTCATGAACATCAAATCTGGTGAGAACTAGGGGCATCCACAAGCTATTTTGTCTTGACTTTGTCCCCTGTCCTGTTAAGGAGAGGGACTGAGAGAGTGTCTGGGTGGTTCTGTGGCAACCAGCCAAGGTCAACTCACCACAGGTGCCCTCTGAGGTCACACAAATAAACCTGCAGATTAACAAATCAGATTTGATATAGATTTGGAGAAGTACCTTGAAACATGTTCCCATAATTACAAAAGACATTGAGAAATCAGACAACTGGCTCCATCTTCTCTCTACAGATGTTACCCAGCATTAGTTTCCATCAAAACCAAAAAAGCTACTTAGTGTTACAGGAAAAGGAAATTTGGCTAATGATGGATGAGAAGCTCAGAAAATCAATAGTGTTTCTTTCCCTCCCTCCATCTCAAATACGTTTCATTTTTTTTATATTAGGAGACAGCCCATAGTAATACGTAATAAAAAACCTACTGTGGCTTCTCTACAGCATATATTTGGAAACATAATACATGCTAACAATATATTATTAATGTACTATATGTACATTACATTTCATTGTTTATAATGTATTTCCATCTTAATCTAATAAAATACGCAAAATTTTTTGAATGAAAACAAATGTTAAGCAACACAATTAAATCTGTAACATTAGTAGTATCATGGGCAAAGTATTGTTAAACTAAATTCACGTTTTCAGCTTAAATAGCTAATATGCTCACAAATGGCTTGTATTACGTAAATATTCTAGAATAACTACATTAGCTTTAATGTTTTGTATCAGTGCTATAGCATAGTTCTGAAGTAAATTCCCTGGGCATGTAATGCATGTTCACTGGCTTTGAAGAATGATTTTGGTGCATACAAACTACACTGCTCTTGGAAGCAACCAGTGTAAAAACCTGCCCACCGTGGGCAGATTTTTTTCTGCAGCTTATGCAGAAGAAAGGTCTGAAGCAATGACAGCTTCAAACACTATGCATGGTGGGGACATTCATGACAAAAGACTGGACTATATTTTGTGTAAAGTAAGTCTTGAGCCATATTTAAGGATGTTAAAGCTGGTATATCTATAACTACTTTGATCAACTGACCCATACCAATGCTGCACTATACTATTTGGTACGTAGACAGAGCCTGTGTTAGAGTGTAAATACTGTAACTTGATTTAAGAATTTTAACGTATGTGACTCACATGACTTTTCTGCCACTATGGTTCTTGAGCTTGATGATGAAGGGATTTAAATGCAGTTATTCTTGCAGTTAGAAAAGACGGAACACTTAAAAACAAGACTGAAGTCACAGGCTCCAGCTGAAGATACGCACTAATATATAAACCAGTTCAATATGCACTGTATTACATAGTTTGATGTTCCCATGTGGTATTGTTTGTTGGTGAAAGAAGGAGAAACAAAACCAAATCATTAATTCTTCTATTCAATCTGTAAAAAGTAATACCAAGAAACTTCAAAAATTTTTGCCTTCGGTTCCAATCATACTTCAGTCAATACATTTTTTATTGTCTTAATATAGTCTAGATTTTGTGACAAATGCACATTAGGAGTGGAAAAAGGCAATGAGGTCATATCTCAAAAAAACCCCCTAAAACAACAGAGTTAATTAAAACCTACCATTAAAACCTACCTGAACCTGACCTAGCATTTAAACATGTTGTGAGTCAGATTAAGATAAAGCTATATACTGAACTGTCTTAGGTTTATGCCTCATATGTAAGTCTGATTATTAGGGAAAATATACTGTAAATAGTACACAATGTGATGCTTACAAACATTACACTCGGTTCATATTTTTGTCAATTTTTGTCAGTTTGTATGTGACATTCTTTTGCTTTCAGTCATCTAGAGGAACTGTTTTTCATCATTGCTGAAAATTTACAAACCCACTTGCACGAAAACCGAACTGGGATTTCAGAAAGTTGGTAGAGATTTTGACACTATGTTCAGGATATATGTAAATTAACAGTAGGTCTTCTGAAAAACAGATATACAAAGTCTCTGCTTCATGAAACAGTGGTTTTCAAGCTGTCTATTAGCTGGCAGTGGGTCACCCAATTACACAATTCAAGCTGCCAGGCTGCACACAAGTGCCAAGGGAGGAATCATGGCCTAGCAATCAGCTAATGGCCCAGAGCTTCTGCGGGTGGACACAACTGTCAAGTCCACTATCAATTTTTCCATGCTAATGGCTTCTTTCTTTTTGTCTCAATTTGTATCAAATAGCGAAACCTTTTCATTGCCATCTCCCACAGGATATCAGTAAAATTTACGAAATAGTGAGCATCAAGCTATTAACGCAAGATAGAAAAGAATGCATTATGCTAGAACTTAACTTACTAGTAAAGGTACAAAGAGCAAAATAAAAGTACTACTGCTGGATATGAGTTTCACAGTATTAACACCTTTTTCTCCCTTTAGTTAATAATCTCATATTCTCGAAGTTGCAATACTATGTACTACTTTTAATACACCACCTGTATTAATAAAGCCATTTGAGAACTTAATACATTTACTTCTGACTTAAGCAAATTTGCTTTTTTTACTCTGTGTAAGGTAGGCTCTTCCTCTCACTTAGAAAATATTTCAGATGTGAATTTCTTTCTTTTTACTCATAGTGTTTTAAAGGGACTTGTATAATCCCCCTCTCAGGTAGTTTTCACAGTTCTTGTGAGGAATTAGTTCTTGGACAACACAGAAACCACCCATGGTTAGCAGATCCAGTGATACTTAAAATCTTGCTAAATCCCAGCAGAAGTTACTTAGCACTTTTAATAACTTGCCGTTCAGTGGAGTGAAACAGTATGAGCATAATTTCATTCTAAGTGCTCCATCACCAGTCACTTACATACACTGTAGATGTCCTTTTTGGGTTCTTTTTTTCTCTGTTCTCTTACTTGTAATTTATTCAAAATGGCTATTCGACTAGCACTTATTATTTCATTCCCCAGGGTAATAAACATCCTGAAAGCTAGAGTATCTTGTTAGCGTTTCTGCTGCCATTTTAGATGTTTCATATCCTCAGTGATTTGTTGCTGAATTTTCCATATTTCCTCATGTATATTTGCAAGCTTAAAAGTATTTCTGAAAACGTTACACTGAAGGCTACAGCTGCATCAAGCTTTTAAATTTTTATTTTTTTATTTTTATTCTGAGGGTTTGGTTAAGGTTTTTCAAACAACTTTTTCACTGTTTTTACTCGTGTGAAACCTTATTTAAAAGGATGTTCGTATTTTTCAGTATAAATATAGAACTACAGAAAAATGCATTTTGATCCCTGTGATTTATTACAGAATTTATAGCCAGAATCTGAAAAAAAGGCATTTAAAAATGTCACCTCCATTGCTTTAAATTAATAGCTAACATTTAATTTTCTTCCAGTTTCCAGGATACTAATTAATTTCAATTTGCTACAAATAAAGATCTCTAGTATAACAGTGTTAAGTGACTTATAAAAAGGCCATTACATGTTAACCTTCCACATGAAATATACACAAAAGAGTAACATTCAGGTATGTATGACAGATGACATGAGTGAGGGAAAACAAGATGGGCTTATGACTGAAAACAGCTATGAGGTGTCACTATTACAGATAATTTCAGTGTTAAATACTTAGTCAATCATAACACTTTCCAGACAGCCTTTTAAAAACAAAAATAAAAACCCTAAGGATAACAATGCTCTACTTCTTTCCACTAAAACCAACTATGTTCTATTTGTTTTCTTTTCTTTCTCCTAAATGTTCCTAAAACCACTATCTTGAAGAAGTACCTATACAATTGCATGGAATTAGGTGCTTTCTGCTTGGGACATTAGTTTTTGTTCTCATAGAGCATTTGCTACATGCTGCAGTAATTCCACGAAATCAGTATGTATCTTTAACAGAGAAAATGAGAAAAAAAAATAAAAATCCCTATCTCACATTTTGAAAGCTGAAACTTAAAAAATGAGGCACAAATTACACTAGGCTGCTACAGAACAAGTACATTGTAAAAGAAAAGCTGACTCTCAGAATTTAATACCAAGATTATGTAAATTCCTAGTGCTATTAGAAACAAATGCCTTCCTCCCAACTACTCAGGAATAAAAATTAATATATAAATTGGAAATTTCAGCCTTCCAATACCTAAAGGGGCCTACAAGAAACCTGGAGACAGGCTTTTGACAAGGGCCTGTAGGGACAGAACAAGGAGGAATGACAGAGAGGAGACTGAGATTAGACATTAGGTTGAAGTTGTTCCCTGTGAGAATTCTGAGGCCCTTGCACAGGTTGCCCAGAGAAACTGTGGCTGCCCCATCCCTGGCAGCATTCAGGGTCAGGTTGGACAGGGCTTGTAGCAACCTTGTCCAGTGAAAGGTGTCTGCGCATGGCAGGCGCTGGAACTGGATGCCCATGGCAGGCGCCGGAACTGGATGATCTTAAGGTCCTTTCCAACCCAAAACATTCTAAGATTCTATGATTGTATGAAATTTCATTTTTAAGCACTGGTGTGCAGTGCCTATAAACACAAACAGGACATTGACCAGGAATCACTAATATAGTTAGAATACACTGAAACTTCAAGAGCTAGCGCATGAGACTTTTGCTAAAACTCCAATAGCCAGTTAAAAGAGGAAGTAGAGGCTAGAAGCTGTTATCACCTGGATTCATGTCTGTTAGTAAAGACAAAAACCTCATAAACTTTTCACTAAGGATACTCTTATTCCCCCTCTCCACTTCCTTCCACCATCCCAAAAGAACTACACAGCAACTAACATCTCATGTTTCAATGGAATTCCATCAATTAAAGCAAA